CAGTGAGTGTCTGGAAAAGAATGAGGGCAACATATATACAAACATGCCTGATTCAATTCATGAATGGATTGTGATCAGAGCTGTAGGAGCCCCCAATAAAATGATTTTTTAAAAGATATATATGTCTTACAGATAATATATATACCTTTTATGTGCTGCTTTGTGTGTGCACTTATATTTCTGAAGGAGCCCTGGTGGCACTGTCTAGTATGCATTGGAATGCTAATCTCAAGGCTGGCAGTTCAAAGCCACAGGTTCTCGGCAGGAGCAAGGTGAATATCTGCTCCTGTAAAGATTTACAGCCTCAGAAACGTGTCAGGGGAGACAAGTCCCTGGAGAAGGACATTGTGTTTGGTAAAATAGAGTGGTAGCAAAAAAGAGAAAGGCCCTCAGGGAGATGGCTGCCCCCATGGGGCCAAGCAAAGACCAAATGGGGGGATGGCCCAGGATTGGGCGCAGGGGCACTCTGTCTCGGAACTGACTCAATGGCACCTGAGAGCACAACAACATGAATCAGGATTACCTGGCTTGATGGTAGAATTTTGTTATATGCAATTATTTATAATATCATACATAATGATATATAATATTATGACATATATAGCTCTATATTATCAAGACTATAGACCAATTAATAGACCAATAGGCCAAAGACCAATTTTCCAAATTACCAAATATGTAATTTTTGGTGTTGCATATTATTCATCAACAACATTTTCTTTTATTATTCTCACATTAACAAATATCTTTGGCTCCATCAGGGAATAAAAAATGCTATCAAACTATTTCTAAATTTCACCAGTATTAAAGTTCCAAACACCTGAAATATCACCAATGAAATAATGTCATCAGATATACAGATAGATTTAAATGAAGACGTGCATTTTAAAAATGTTTTAATGTGTACTTTAATGAGAGCTAATTTGAGAAACAATGCTCTTCTTAACTTATAGACTTTTAAAAAATTGATACATTCCCCATTTACTTATTTCAGTTTGGAAATATGAAACTCATTCCACCTTGAATCCATCGCAGCATCTAGCTTTCCTTTTGCTGGCTGGCTGTTCCTCTGTTGCTGCATTCAAAGGATGATTTTGGTCCATCTTTGTACTACAATTATCAATAGAATGTTGTCATCAATTCTTGACTAGAAATGATTGCCTCTGAGGAGGGGAAAATTAAAACAGATCAATTTCATCTTAATTGTATGCTATTCAGAAATAAGAAAAGTTACAACATCAATCATCCAAACAATTAATCCACTAATAATCACTCGGGGGTCTAATGTATTTAGTAGGATAGAACTAAATACAAAAGGAAAAGGAGAATTAAAAAACTAAAATAAATATGCACAGCCCCAGCCTAAAGGGAATTGTAATTTAGTTGGTTTGATAAAGTCAGGGAGGGAAAGTCAGAACAAGTGAGTAAGACAATGTAGACTCACACAGTCGATTGTGTGAGCAAAATGTTAAATTGCAGAATTTAAAAAGAAAACAAAATCTACATAAATACATAATAAATACTTACAAGAAAAAATTCATTTAATTTGTCTTTATAGTTTTACAAAGTACCAGACAATGCTTTGCACATAGTAGATATTCAAAATGTAATAGAATGAATTATTGTTGGAGTGACCTAAGAAGGCCCTTGGAGGGCCCAGTTTGTCCTCTAGCTACCTAAAGGGGTGGCTTATATGTACCAAACACCTGCACATTGGCTTCCTTAAGGATTGTAGTCAAGAAAACTCTATAGATTTCTTCTACTTCGCAACACACAGAGACACCATGAATTGGAACTGACTGGACATGAATGGGTTTGATTGGGTTTTAAAGATGATTTCCTATGAGAGATGCCACCAGAACCAGTCTCAGGGAGGAGGGAGGATATGGATTTCTCAAAAAGATAACGTGAGCTCCAAGTACTTCTCAGAGACTCTGGAGATACTTGACTCTAACCTCATTTTGATAGAACATGAATTTTGTTCATTTATTTTGAAATAGAAAATATATGCATATAATTTAAAATGACAAAGACCGAAAAGTGATGTAGAGAATATTTTCCCTCTGAACCCTGCCTCCCCAGATGTCTACTTTCATATCGTGGAAACTAATGTTATCCGTCTTTAATAATCTCAGCAGAGCTGAAAGAGCCCTGGTGGTGTAGCAGGTACAGGTTGAGCTGTGATTCCCAGGTTTGGCAGTTTGAAACCGCCTGCAGCTCCACGGGAAAAAGACTGGGTTTACTACTCCCACAGTTACACTCTCCTAATCCCGCAGCATGTCACTCTGAGCTAGCATGGACGCATGGCAAGGAGTTTGTTTGTTTTTCTTATCACAGTTATGTTATATTTATAAATGAATACTTAAGTTTGCTCTTTAAAAATATATGGGAGCATTCAATATAGTGCTCTCTACCTTTATTTTTTTTAACTTTGTGAATTTGAGATTGTGAATTTGGTACAGATTTACAAAATAGATCATCAGTTTTACATTCAACAATTGATACATTTTGTGTCAACTCATCCATTGTCACTTCCCCCGTAAGCCATCCCTTCTCCCACTTCCTCCCTCGGTGCCCAATTTCCATTCCTCCTTCTTTCCTAACCCTCTGAACTTTGTCCTTGAAAATATGCTGACGTTTTCAGCTTCATTGGCCAATTTTCCCAATATGGGAGGGAGTTCAAATCAGACCTGCAGAATGACTAAGGGCCTACCCAGTCTTGGGGGCTCTACCAGTCTAGATCCAACCAACGAGTCTAGTCTCATAATTTTGAGCTTTGTTCCACAAAGAACCCTATCTAAAGATTAATAAAGTGATATACGTAGTTCATTAGATTTCATTTTGTAAGTAGAAAAATGATACTTTCACTAAGCTTCAGAAACCTATTCTTGTTTATATATGTGTATAATAGCATGTTTAATATCTAAAATCCTTTTACATGCAGACAACCAAGCACAGATATATGGATATTAGTTATGCAGCAATGATAGAATATGTTTTAAGTATATTTTATTTATCATTTAATTGACAAGGATTGAGTGTCTGCTACTAAACAAAAACCAAAACCAAATCCTCTGCCCTTGAATCAATTCTATCATCAAAATTCTATGAATAAATTTCGACGTAGAACAGGTAGATAGCGTCCCTTTCATTTTCGATACATTTCTTTCACCTGTGGAACAAATATTTGGTGAGGCTCTTACCTCTCAATCACGGGCTTTGCTTTTTGTGACTGACTCATTCTGTCTCTTATCCTTCTCCTGAGCCAACACATTTAGCTTCTTAGACCCTTTCAAAAGTTCCTGAATCATAAACAATGAAGCTCGTATTTTCACTCTATCTAAAATTAAACCAGACCTAGTGTGTAGTGTCATTTCTCAATGCGTCCACGATCACCCTCAGTCATATGGAACCACTGTCTCCCTATGACCAAAACACCCCAGTAATTCTGCTCTCCTCTTATGTACGTCTTCTTCACTCTTCCCCCCGCCGCTTTCCCTCCTCTGGTTGTGATTCTGCCAAACTCTACTCTCTGATATTCTCCCTGTGACTCTTAGTTATGACAACTTCTGCCGCACTGCCGATCCCTGGAAGCACAGAACTTGCGCGGTCTCCTCCTCCTCTGCCTCTATGTTTGTGAGTTCCTCACAAATCCTGCAAGCCCCGGGCAGCTCCGTTATGGAGGAACCTGCCTTTTGGAAGTCCACGAATCTCCTTTCCTGCCACAGTGGAGGTCATTCAGTAACCTTGAGAGTCCTTCCTTTCCTGTTCAATAACTAACACCCCTCCACTTCTTCCAGGAAGGTAGAATGAAAAAAAACAAGGGGTCTGATCTAATAACTTGGTGAAATTAATAAAAATAATTGTCATGTAGCAATTTTAGGAAGGCAACCAGAAGTTCATTTGTTTTCTAGAAATGCGTGGTTCAGTTTGTCTAGAAAGTAAATAGAAACAGGAACTCAATTTTATTTTGTAATTATGACATATGCCTATAATTAATTCTTAAAAATATATAATTCTAATGGTTGTCTATGTCCAGAAAATATATTTGATTACTTTCAATATCTACTACATTATTCAATAGCTACTACTATATTACTACATAATAAATTTGTAGTCTTTAATATGATTATTAAAATACTTTTTTCTTTGACATTTGGGAAGAATTCTTATGTATAAGTGTTAAAATTAGAGAATTTCAAAAGCTCTTACCTAGACTTAGAATCCTACAGCAACTCCGACATCACGACGTCCATTCCTTTACCTGTTACTAAAATCCCTTGATAGTCAGCTTTTTCACCCTTTCTTTTTTTGTTAGTCTAATGATGATTAACCACCTCTTTAGGTCGTTGACCTAGACAAATAGAAGAAAATTGCCTAGCTAATTCTAGAAGTCTGCTATTCCTATATTCCTATATTTTAAATGTTATATCAATACTTTCTCAGAATTTATAACTTATTTTAAGTTAAAAATAATTTTTACTTCAAAAAATGCTTGTATTTGGTTATGCAATTAAGTAGACTATATAAGGTTTTTTCTTTTGTTTTGTTTTTAAGGAATACAAATATATCAGATTATCCCAGGTATTTAAAACTCTTTCAAAACAAAGGAATCCAAAGAAAATTTCAAAATGGGTTTTCAAGTTATTTGAGAATTCAGAGAATCAAAAGATACTCTTTTTCCTTGGCTCTTGAATACAATTTTAATATGATGAGATTGGCTTGAAGATGGGAAAGTAGCGATGCAGTACGGGATCAATTATCTAAATGATTTCTAAATACTTACAAAAGTCAAGATTAGTTTGCATAATAGGTTGCTTATATCAAAACATAAGGAACAGAAGTCAACAGTCTCTTTCTATGGAGTTGGTTTCTTGAAAAGGGAAGACTTGCACCTACTCGAAACTTTTCTTGAATAGAAGTAAAGTGCAATTCATTTTTTCATTCACTTACTCAAGTATTGCTATATTTGATAGCCTATTTTACCCTGGTGGTGTAATAAGTTAAGGGTTGGACTACCAACCGAAAGGCTGTTGGCTCACATCCACTATCCTTTTCTCAAGAGAAAGACTAGATTTACAGCCATGGAAACCCGAAGGATAGTGCTACTCTGTCGCATAGTGTCTCTGTGAACGGGAATTGACTCAGTGGCAGAGCTCTTGAGAGCACAGACACTCGACTTTGTTCTGGAGGTACAAATATGAACAAAATACAGATTTTATCCTCACATGAACAAATGCTGATAGCAATGAGCAAATGTGTGTATTCAAATATTCTTACCCATTATCGCTGTCATAGGGTAATTGTTGATATACCTGCAGCAATACAGGTATTGCTGTATTGCTGGAACTAATGGTTCCTCTTACAGTTATTTGGAAGCTGGGTTTGATTCTTGTTTGTTCTTGTGAGAGTGGATTCATAAAATAATCCAAAGGGTAGTAGGGGATTAAAGCTGAGAAATACGGGGACTGGGATGCGTAGAACTGGCACAAAGAAGAATTGGGAAGGGATTCCAAATATTTCTCTGTTGAGTCAGAATCTACCGGAATTCTTCATTAAAACAACATCCCACAGCTAGAAGAAATGCATGTGGTAGGACTGGTAAAAATGAAAATACAAAGATAAAGCATTTTTAATAAGCACTTCATATGATTTTTATATAGTGTCTGGTTTGAGAACCATGGAGATTCAGAGCATTTTCAGTAGCATTTAACTGCTCCTTCAGTCAGAGTAGGATGAGTCAGATGTTCTCATATTTCTTTGCATTTGCTCATACATCCATGCTGTTCATTGCATGACAACTAGTTTGAGGACAGTACAAATTACCTGACGAAATTAGAAATCCCTGACCTAAAACTAGCAGTGGTGACATTCTGGAGTGTTTCCAGAGGCCAAAGAGCATTTTCCATGCCCTTCTCTCTGCGTGCTCTGTAAGTAATTACACCCTTTGTGTTTGCAGAAGCGAGGGGTGGCCAGAAGAAAGACATGTGGCAATCGTGCTTTCAAAGTCAACATTATGATGACAGTCGTGATCAATAGAATTGCATATGTTTGCTACAACCAACCAACAAAACTATGATTGGTATTTATTTATGAGACTATCTGGGCAGTCTTTGACCTCTGATAAATTTAGATACCAATTTGTCTCTGCGGCTTGCTAACACCATATCCTTACACATAGATCATTTAAGCTTGTAACTAGAAGAATATTTAAAGAAGTCAAGATGCTCTCTATAATCATATAGAAGCAATTATGTAATCATCAATAAGCAAAAATATTAAAAGCAGTAAGAAATTCATCATGGTTAAAGAGTCAAACATGACACTGATACAAAAATCATTATTTGTGAAAATTATGTTTAAAATTTTCCACTGATTCCTAGGTCACTTAGAATAAGTACTCCAGTGTCTTAGTGTCTTTGCTACTTATTGCTACTTTAATAGCAATACCAAGTGGGTGACTTTAAAGAATAGAAATTTATTTTCTCACAGCTCTGGAGAAGAAAAGTCCAACTCAGGGTCTCAGCAATGTAAATGTTATTCTTTTTTAGTAGCTTTGGACATTTTGTGGTTCCTTATATCAGTCTTTCCCTGTGAGTGTGAGCATGTAATTTATTCATTTTTGTGTCAGTAGTACTTAAATAATATTATTATATTAAAATAATATATTATACTTAATAATATATTGTACTTATAATAATATATTATGCTTAAAAATAATACTACTAATAAGCAAACAACAAGAACAAAATTCACTACCATTGAGTCAATTATGACTTATAGTGACCCTCTCAGCTAAGGTAGAACTGCCCTAGTGGGTTTCCAAGACTATAAAACTTTATGGGAATAGAAAGCCTTGACTTTATTTCATTGAGCAGTTAGTGGTTTCAAACTGCTGCTATTATGATAAGCAGCCCAACACATAACCAGTGTACCACCAGGGTTCTTCTCCAGCAGTACATTAATTAACAAAGAAAACTCTACTTCCAAACACGTTTTCATACACTCATGTACCCACTGTTGTGAACGTTGTTGTGAGGTGCCATGAAGTCAGTTCTGACCCGTAATGACCCAAGTACAACAGACGGAAACACGGCTCACTTCTACCCCATCCTGACAATTGGTCTTATGTTTGAGGTCCCGGTTGCAGCCACGGGGTCAATTCATCCTGCGAGGGCCTTCCTTTTGTTCACAGCAGAAACCAAGCATGATGTCCTTCTCTAGAGATGATTCTCTCCTGAAAAATGTTCAAAGTATGGGAGACCAAGTCTCACCATTTGTTCCTCTAAGGAGTATCCTGGTGGTACAGACAGACTTGTTTATTCTTTTTTTTTGTAGTTTCTTTTCCTGCACAAAGTATTTTATGTAATATTGCTCACTACAGTTGACCTTTCTCCTGAGACCCCAGGCTTCTCCTGAGTCTGATTTGTTTGTTCTTGTGACAGTCCCTGGTGCTGTCAAGAGCACCATGATTCACATGCAGCTGTTCTTCTTCGGTCTTCCTCAGTCAATGTCCCACTTTCACATGCATTTGAGGCCGTGGAAAACACCATGATGTGGGTCAGAGTCACCTTAAACCTCAAAATAACACCCTTGCTTTTCAACCCTTTAAAGTCATTTGGCACAGCAAAGTTACCCAATGCAATGTATTATTTGAACTCTTGACTGCTGCTTCTGTGAGCATTGCTTGTGTATATCCACTATTACCCAGTAATTTTAACTCATCATAACCCTAGAAAGACAGAGTAGAACTTCTCCATTAAAGTATCTGACACTGTAAATCATTAGAAGGCTAGAGAGTCCCATTTTCCCCCCTGCAGTTCAGTTTGTGGGTTTGGCCCATTGACCTTTGAGGGTTACAGCCCAATGCCTTACCCACTCGGCCATCACAGCCCCTTATCTACTGATTTTAGCCCTTACCCCTCAAAAAAACCAAACCCAAACCACTGTTGTCAGGTTGATGTCAATGCCCAATGACCCCATATAAGGCTTCTGAGGCTGTGAAATGACTCAATGACAAGTGATTTGGTGATTTTTGGTAATTATTTCAAGGTAGCTTTGGATGGTACAGTTACTATGCTTAGCCATTTACTTAAATCCTTCGGGTTTTAAAAATAAGTTATTGTAAGTTGGAATCCACAACAGAGGTGACTCATGAGAAAGGACCGAGGATCTTCTCCTGAAACAAAAACCATCCATTGAAAATCCGATGGACTATATAGCTCTCCTCTGAACACATGCTACTTGAAGGCAAATGTTTGTTTTTTTTGTTTCTTCTTCCAACTAATTCACAGGGGAAAATGAGAAGTTTTTCAAAGTATTTGCTGGCAGATATGTTTGTTGAAACCGTTTTATTGAAGAATGATAAGTATACAATAAGCTTCACCTACATAAAATGTGAAAGTAAATGAGTTTTGATCTATGGATTAATCTTGGGTGATGACAGTGGTGTTAGGCACCATGCCGCCGATTCTGACCCACAGCAACAATATGAACAACAGAATAAAACACTGGCCAGGCCTGTGCCACCCTCACAGTCGTTTCTATGCCGAAGTCCCTCGTTGCAGCCACTATGTCATCCATCCTTCTCTCCTTCATTGTCCCTCTACTCTCACAAACACGATGTCCTTCTCCAGGGGCTCTGCTGATTACATGCCCAAAGTATGTAAGACCAAATCTTGCCATCATTACCTCTAAGGAGCACTCTGGCCTTACTTCTTCTAAGACAGATTGGTTTATCCTTTTAGCTAGCATTTCATGGTACTTTCAATATTCTTCTCCAGCGCCATAATTCAAATGCATCTCTTCAACTTGGGTCTTCATTATTCAATGTTTAAGTTTCACAATTAAAAATACCACAGCTTGGATCTGGCGCAACGTAGTCTTCAATGTAGCATCCTGCTCTTCAAAATTCTAAAGAGGTCTTGTGCAGCAGATTTACTTAATACAATATGTCTTTTGATCTCTTGATTGCTGTTTCCATGAGCATTGATTGTGAACCCAATCAAGACAAAATCCTTGACAATTTCAACCCTTTCTCTATTTATCATGATGCCATCTATTGATCCAGTTGTGAAGATTTTGGTCTTTTGTATATTGAGTTGTAATTCATACTGAAGGCTGCAATCCTTGATCTTCATCATTAAGTGCTTCAAATCCTCATTTTCTGCAAGCAAGGTTGTGTAACCTGTATGCTGAAGGTTATTAATAAGCCTACCTCTAATCCTGATGCCACATTCTTCTGCATATAATACATTTCTTCGGATTGGTCAGCATTCAGATTGAATAA